GTACCTCTGCCCATTCTGTGGATCCCAGCAGGCCAAACTCTTCTGCGTCCCAACTGGCAAAGATCAGCGTTCTCCTCGGCCTCCAACCTAAAACACACACAGAGTATGATCATCTTAATTAAAAACAAGACTAAGACTATCAAAACACCTGTACAGTTACGCATTAAACTAGACGACACACACCTTTCTTCATGAGTTTTCCAGCTGCTCTCACGCTCTCGTGCACCACAGCAGCTCCTGACACCGGATCGATGCCTCCGAACACCCAAGCATCACGATGACCGCCCAGAATCACGTACCTGTCTGAACACAAAACCAAACTCGACTAGACAGAATAAAACAAAACTTCACAAACTCTCAAACAGTGTGAACACAACTCCAAAATAAAACCAGATAAGCAGATGTCACCTGGCTCCACCGCTCCTCTGATCCAGCCAATCACGTTGTAGATACGGGTCACCTGATTGTTTGTGTGGATGTTCATACGCACTTTACTAAAATTTCACCAAGACAAAATTCAATAAGGAATCAGTACTTTCTAGTCTTTTACTTTACACTGCATGCATACATGGATAAAAGCATCTGCCAAATGCATAAATGTAAAGACAGCCAGTTAAGTGTGTGTGTGTGTGTGTGTGTGTGTATGTATGTGTGTGTGTGTGTGTGTGTGTGTGTGTGTGTGTGTGTGTGAGAGAGAGAGAGAGAGAGATGGGCTCCCCAAACAAAAGGACTTTGTATCAAACTGGCCGACCTCCAGAGTTCATTACAGAACAACAACAGAGCCACAGAAGTGTGTGTGTGTGTGTGTGCTGTGGGAAACAAATGTGTCATCCCTCTTTGAGAACGCTGAGTGCACAAACCTCCCAGTCCTGCAGACATCACGCATAAAAATGAATTAACCATTAGCAGGAGTGCACGAATATGTGAGTTTAAGCTGATTATGATTGTTCACACTTCATAACAGCAGGATCATAGGTTTTGAGGTTAAAGGTCAGATTGAGGTTTTGACTTTGGTTTGGAATAGATAACTGTCTGACTGACTGAACATGAAATCGCTGTTTACATCTTTAACAAACATCCCTGATCTGACTGTGCATGATTCATCAGAGCACATCATTCAGCAGAGAAGGATTTTGTAATGTTTCATTGAAATGTAATAACATTTCTAATCATATCCCACATTTAATAATGCAATCATGTCATTTTACCACTAAATATTCTACTTAGAAATCTGTCATATTAGAAATCAAATGCATTGCAAGGCAAGACACCACAGGTGAAGATTTAGACTAATATCGTCGTATTCCACCATATACACCATATTTCTGACATGTTATGATTAAATATGTTAATGAGGCATGATTTAATTAAATATGCAATATTTGAATCAGTTTCCAGAATAGAACATTGGATAAAACCAGGTTTGACATTTTTGCAGAGGATTTCTTTTTTTATCACTCTATGCATGTAATATTTCTGACTCAGCCTTTACAGATATGTATTGTATTTTAAATCTACAGACGCAAACAGATAAAGTGCATTAAAATAAACACTTAAATGTGTATTTGCTCTCCACTAGTCTGAAAGAAGACTTGTTGTGGAAGCAAAAATGACCAGTGCATGCCGGCAGTGTCTTGCCTTAAAAGATCAAATGGAGCTTTTTATTATGGATTTGCAAAAGTATTTGTCAGGAAGGAAGTCTCATACTTCTGATTAAAACCATCCATGAATCCCGGTCCGATTCGGTACGAGACATTAAGGGCACCTTTCCAGTTATCCAGCGGAAGAGGCCCTCCCATATGCCTATAGGAAGAGACGTTATATAATTATATAATTGCAATAAAAAATATATATTTTTATAGTTTTCAAATATGTAATAATATATTTTAATTATTTAATAATAATAATATTATTATTATTATTATTTATGATATTATTGAACAGGGGAAAAGAGTGTCCTAAGCTGATCGCATTCTAGATTTTCACATGGATGCTTGTTATATTATTAAATATTGTTATTATTATTCAAAATGATTTTCAATTATAACAATTAAATAAAAATATATTTCTTTATTCCTATATAATATTAAATATAATGTATATTTTTTTAATATATAAAGAAATATACTATTGCTCCATTAAAAAAAAGGAGTATTTTTGTATATTAATAATAATATTTATGGCTTCTAGATTTTTACATGGATGCTTGTTATATTATTAAATATTATTATTATTATTCAAAATGATTTTCAATTAAAACAATTAAATAAAAATATATTTCTTTATTCCTATATAATATTAAATATAATGTATATTTTTTTAATATATAAAGAAATATACTATTGCTCCATTAAAAAAAAGGAGTATTTTTGTATATTAATAATAATATTTATGGCATAGTTTCTATTTATTAGAGTTGGTCTCAAAAGTTTTTAGCAGTTGCCGACTCACTGCAGCAAGTGAACCGCATCATGATATCCGATGGGATGCACTGGAATCTTGGGAAGCCCCACTGCATCCTCCAGACTAGATCTGTAGGTGTATTCTACGAGACATTCAAGAGACACAATGATCAAGACTGTAATCTCATGGAGAATCTCTCTGTGGCACAAGCACAGACCTTTGGCAGGGTATCCAGGTGTGAGCGGGTCTCCCGCCCCGTTCAGATTCAGCACGTTTCCTCTCTGAGTGCCTCCTCCTGGCAGGTTCCAGCCGTCGGGATACGGCTCCACGCCATCCGCACAGTAATCTGCAGGGTCCGAGAACAGCACGATCCCCTTAGCTCCCGCTAAGATCGCGTTCTTCACCTGCAAACACGTGCAAACTAGTTCACTCAAACGTCGTTCCATGCACACAATATTTTCTTTATTATATGAAACATAAATCTCGTTAAACATCATGTCCAAACTACTGAAACCTCACCTTGTTCCCACGGAAGATTTTGCCATATCTAGCTATGACAATTTTTCCTGAACAGTTTATTCCCAACTCTCTCTGCAGCTTAAAGAAATCCTCCGTCCGTCCGTAATTAACATAAACCAGCTCATCCTACAGTTCACAAAAATCAGATTCCTTTTACTTCAGTAAAGTTAAAGTACAACACTGTTCAAAAGCGGCCTGTAATATTTTTTTATGTTGTGGAAAGAAGACTTTTATGCTCACCAAGGCTGCATTTACTTGATCAAAAATACAGTAAAAGCAGTAAAATTGTGAAATATTATTTCAATTTAACATAACTGTTTTCTATGTGAATATCTGTTCAAATATAATATATTTCTGAGATCAAAACTGTATTTTCAGCATCATTACTCCAGTCTTCAGTGTCACGTGATCTTCAGAAATCATTCTAATATGCTGATTTGCTGCTCAAGAAACATTTCTCATGATTATTATTATTAGAAAGTTCGAAAGATCAGCATTTATTTGAAAAATAAATCCTTTTAAACATTATAAATGTCTTTACTGTCACTTTTGATCAATTTAATGCATCCATGCTGAATAAAATAATTCATTACTTTGAAACAGACGCCAAACTTTTAAATAGCAGTATAAGTTATAAATTGGATGTAATATTATAAAGACAAACGTTTTACACTGATTAATCCAGCACAGTAAGCCCAGGATCATGCATTGAGACCGTAAAAAGTCTGTTGACTGTAAATTAGCATGTGTCAGTATTTGGCTATGTGTGCATCACCTCTGGCTGTCCTTTCGCAGAGAAAGCACTATAAGGAGGGACGATATCGGTAACATCTTCATAACCTTCAGGGACCGGCTCAGCCAGAGAGGTGTTAAAGATCTGAGACAAAGAAAGTGACATGTTGACCTCTATTATTTATTATATTATTATTTATTATGCACTGCAATCACTATAAAACATCCATAGACACAGTCATGGACTTTAACGTGTCACCATGGCAACCATGCTTGAGCCGTTACTCGCAGCCTCACCAGTGACAAGATAAATGACCTTAAAGGAACACTCCACTATTTTTGAAAATAGGCTCATTTTCCAACTCCCCTAGAGTTAAACAGTTGAGTTTTACCGTTTTCGAATCCATTCAGCCGATCTCCGGGTCTGGCGGTAGCACTTTTAGCTGTAGCTTAGCATAGATCATTGAATCTGATTAGACCGTTAGCATCTCGCTCAAAAATGACCAAAGAGTTTCAATATTTAATACTATTTAATGATATTGATATTACGCAATGATATTACGCTGCGTCTGAAAATAGTCCCCAGCACGCTCCCTGTGCATGCAGGTGGTCACGTTGGTTATGTTGGTGGAAGTTAGCCTATTTTCAGGCACTGCGTATTATCATTGTGCCTGCTGCACCCATGGTACGGCAACAAAGTTCCTTGATTATTACGCCGGAATGAGAGTAATAATCAGCCATATCAGCCTAGAAAATCACAACTTTTCATTTTCCGTCGGTCTTAGTACACGATGTAACTACAGAAGAGTCAAGTTTTAAATAGGAAACTCTTCGGTCATTCGGATCGGCTGAATGGATTCGAAAACGGTAAAACTCAACTGTTTAACTCTAGGGGAGTTGGAAAATGAGCCTATTTTCAAAAATAGTGGAGTGTTCCTTTAAAAACACACACAGACACACACCAAATCTTCTGATGTCATGAGAGAAAACAACAGACCCACACTCTACAGGTTCAGTTTTGAACCCTCTTCATGATCTAGAATCATTTTTGGTTGTTTAAGGCTCTTGAGTAGCTTTCAGGATTAAAAAAAGTCACGTTATATGTTCCTCAGATCATTGTTTTGGTGTCTTGAAAGCACATAGATGGTTTACTAAAGACCTAGAGAATATACTATAGTTCTTAGTTCTACTTAGTCTACTTAGTACTTAGTTCTATAAGAGGATTTAAACAAATGGAATTTTGTTCTAAAAGAGTGCAGATGTGTCTGGTCTGAAGAAGTGCATGTGGTTTTGCAAACTAAGTGCACTTCATAGAGTATGCAAACTACTGGTTGACGGATAAGGGTTTTGCAATGTCTGCTGCAACATCTAGAAGGAAGGATGTCCTTTATATCTACAGAAGAATTGCCCAAATTAACACTTCATTTATATTTTATGCAATTACTGATTGATCCGGAAAGTGTATACAGTCACTAATAATTTACAAGAAGCCTTGTTTGTGTGTGTTTGGGTTCTGGTTGTCAGTATGTACCTGATTTCCCAGGTGGTCCACTATGGAGATGTAATTGGGGTTTGTTTTATTTGGGTATGACAGCAACACATCGTACGGCACCAGCTCCACTGAGTCCAGCCCAAACTCCATCCACTCGGCCCGGATCTGCTCCGCCAGATCCAGATTCTGCTGCGTTCCAGCCAGGTGGGGCAGCCTTGTGAACTTCCTGTTTAGGTGAGAAACATGAATTATGACAGACATACTCTAGATCTGGAGAGGACAACTAGGTTAGCAGGCTGTATGTTTGAGAGTGGCATGCACAGCAGATATGCACTTCAAGGAATAGTTGACCCAAAAATGAAAATAGGCTGAAAATGTACTCACCCTTAGGCCATCCAAGCTTGTTTGTTTCTTCATCAGAGCAGATCTGAGGAAATTCAGCATTAAATTGCACTTGTTCACCAGTGGATGCTCTGCAGTGAATGGGTGCCGTCAGAATGAGAGTCCAAACAGCTGATAAAACATCACAATAATCCACACAACTTCAGTGCAAACTGTTCATAATCCATAATAACCCATCCTCCCATGAAAAAGTTCTCCTCTCACATCAAAATCCACCCACATATTTGTTTAGGAGTATTTTTGGCTTGTAAACGGTGCTTGCTCTGTGCAGATTTCTCTCCTGATTCAGATCAGACCACTTTTACACTGGAGAAAGCAATATTGTGGATGGACTGGAGTGGTGTGGACTACTTGTGGATTATCGTGATGTTTTGGACTCTCGTTCTGACGGCACCCATTCACTGTAGAGGATCCACTGGTGAGCAGGTGATGTAATGCTACATTTCTCCAAATCTGTTCTGATGAAGAAACAAACTTGTCTACATCTTGGATGGCCTGTGATTGAGTAAAGTTCCAGCAAATGTTCATTTTTGGGTGAATTACTACTTTAATAATATAATTCAATAACGTCAGGATTATTTCAAATATAAATATACATATAAAATTATTTAGGGCATGTAAACAGCTAGGCAGCGTTTTCCCACCTGAGATGGTGTTTAATATTCTCTGCCTGCATCTCATCTAGAAAGTCGTGCAGGAAGCTTTTTGATACATGTCCATGATTGACAGTAGTAGGTCGAGCAAACCAACCTGAGAACAGCAGTTATGAGAAACAGACACCTGTTACACCAAACCACGTCTGAGAAATATTAGTGATTCATCTGCACAGGAGCAAGGGATGATGAATTCTGACAGGTAATTGCCTAAAAGTGTCCAATATCACAAATGCAATAAAGTATTTTTGAAAACAACAATAAACAAAAAGCGATCAAAACATTCAGGGTTCCTACAACTTATATTGAATGAATTTCCATGACTTTGTCCATGCAAACGTGGTTAATATCCGAACATTAATAGAAAAAATTACATTGAAAATTTTTTTATTCTATTAAAGATTAGAAAGTGTTAAAATTCTCTGATATTTTCAGGTTTCCCATAATTGTGTAACACATCATTCTTCTTCAAGATTATCTTCTTCATAATTATCTTCTTCAAGAGTGTAAATATTCATATTTAAAATAAAAACCTAAAGAAGTAAATGGGATCTCAGTGTAGTCACACCTGTCCTGAAGGCATTGCAAGACCTGTGGAATGCAGCGCGTGAGATCTGGACAGGTGAAACCAACAGGTATCAAACACCTGAATTTGTTTTTGACCATAAGCAACGAAGAGCAAATAAATCCATGAGTTAATGCTGAATCTGAAGGGTCCCAGTATTTAATAACTTTGACAAATTTAACAAATTGATCAACTACCTTCTGGCTAAATTATGCGCAGTGGACAGTCTAATACAACTGGACTAGTTGCAGATAATTATAAATATTTTTATAAAGGTAGAGAAACTCACCAATAATAAAGCCAATCAAGAAGAAAGCCGTAATAACCGTTAACCGGCAGATCCAGCTGATTAATTTATCCACAGATCCCATTTGGTTAAGCGCCGCACATTACGCGTTGAAAGTTGGCGAACTTAGTTCTAGAAGGAGAGAAATGTAGGCGGGTCTTGGCTGGCTTGTGTTCGTTCAGTTGTTCATTGCAGCGAATTGGTTCATTTGAGTGAAAATTATTCACCAATTCGCTTGATTTTTAAGCAAAATAACAGTTGCAGTGCAGCATTTTACGCGTTCCTTCTGAAAAAACAAACTAGCCTACTTAAACTAGACTAATCTGGTTTGTTCTCCCAAAATGGCCAAAACTCTTCTAAGCTATCAAACCCTGACCATTTGAAACCAGTTTGGTGAGCAGAGCACTCGCGTTTAACTGGTGTTGTTTTCAGAGACGTCTATTTTTCACTCTTAAATAATCACATTGATTGATACAGACGGTATTTTTTGTATTATTCCAACAAATGTTGAACGTTGTACTCTAAAAGTGGCTGACATGCAATAGATGGCGCCGTTGGCCCATGTTTGATTCATTTTATCCGACACCAGGGTGCTACTTAAACCCCTCAAAGAAGCAAATGATTGGGTCCTTATACATGTATTTAAATAAAATAAAATTTAAATAAATAAATAAAGTTTCAGTAGCCACAGAAAGAAAAGAAAATAGATACAAAGTTAACAAAGAAGTTTTGAAAGTTTTGAAAAGAAATCTAGCAGCTGCATTTTGGACTAACGTTAACTTGTTTATTGAAGATGCAGGACAACCAGCTAGTAGGCTAATGCATTACAGTAATCCAGTCTAGAGGTCATGAATGCATGAACTAGCTTTTATGCGTCAGAAACAGATAACATATTCTGTAGCTTAGCAATGTATCCTAGTTGCAAATTGTATTCTAAGAGATTCTGTGTGCAGGTTTTTGGTCCAAAAAGTCATATCTCAGGCTCAGTCTTGTCTGAATTTAATAGGAGAAAATTACTGGTCATCCAGTGTTTTATATCTTTAGATTTTAATACATTCTGTCAACTTGTACAGTTTCAAAATTTCATCTGGTCGTGATGACATATATAACAGAGTATCATCGGCATAGCAGTGGAAACTAATTTCATGTTTTCTAATAATGTTGCCAAGTGGCAGCATGTTTATTGAAAATAAAAGAGGGCCTAACACGGATCCTTGCGGCACCCCATATCCCAAGTAAATAATAAGACAAGACTTTAGTGTTTTTACTCCTCAATTTAGCTTTCAGAAAGTATTTCATTCCTAATTCTATATGTATTATCATGTTAAAAGTACATAAATATTATAAAACTAGATTAAGCAGATAAAAAAATCAACAAGACTTAATGTTGCCTTAACAAAGCCTGACCAGAAAAGTTTGAAGTAGATAGATAGATAGGTAGTTTGTCAATATCATTTAAAAAAAAAAAATTGTCATAAAAACACTTTGTGTATTTGCTCTATAAATTAAATCTAATGTTATTTTTTATTAGAAGTAGTAGAAAACACTCATTATTTTTTATTACCCAGGGGCCAGTTGCATAAACATAGTCACCACGTTAAGACTGTGTCTTAAGAACTAGTTTGACTAACTAGCAGTTAACCAAGTGGTTATCAGTATAACTTTTCAGATTCAAATTTGATCAATCACGGACATCTGCAAGATGTCTGTTAAAGATGGCTTCGTCTGGAAAGCATCTGCTGTGTACAAACATCTGACAGACATCTTTAGTTAGACTGTTGTGTTTTTATTGTTTTGGGCAGATGGTTTGGATTGCAGTGAATGTATTTCTGTTCTGGAAAACATTCATGTTGTACTTCAGCGGAGCGCAGTATTATTATCTACACAAGATGCTGGGGGTAAGAACTTGAGTTTATGTGTCAAATTGTATTTTCATGTTTAGGGTGTGTGAGTTAAAGGTCTGTACGTCTAGAGATGATAAAGTTTGATTGTTTTTTTTATAGTGTAATGTATATATTTTGAGTTTGTTTTAGACTTTAACCTTTGTGTTTGTGTGTAGCCATTGAGATATGAGTTTGACAGGTGTGTTATTTTGTAGAGTTTGAGTTATGTGTGTTTGCATTTTACAGTATGAGATGTGTATGTGTGTGTGTGTGTGTGTGTGTGTGTATGTACAGATGATGTTTGTGTTTTTGTGTGTTGCTGTGAGATGGACAGGATTTCCACAACGCTCCTTAGTGAATCAGGGTAATTGTTGTCACAGGTTATTGTTTAATGTCCTGGAAAGATGCTGCACAGGGACACACAACTTTCCGAAAACAGACCACACTTGTGTTAGCTAAGACTTTTACACGTTTATTCCAGAATTGGACAATTGCAGTAGTTGCAAACTGTCTGTGTGTGTGAGCTGTAATCCTTCATATGTAGCAGGGCTGTTGTGTTTCTGTATAGAGCTGAACAGGCGTGTAACAACTCGCTCACCTCTGTACAGGAAACAATGATCAAACGCCACTGCAACTCACACACACATACACCAACACCACATGATTGCATTTTTTTTAAGTGTTATTTTAATTTTCATTCTCACACAGTATGAATTAGTTTTAAAATATATGACTGCCTTTATATTTCAGGAACGGCATCTTTCTAAACAAGTTGACAAAAAGACTGAATCCAAGATTTGGTGATAATACAGCATCATGACAGATTTACAAGCAACTTTTTAAAAGGCTGGTGATTTTTGACTGGAAAAAAGTCAATATTAAGTGGCCCTAATACCTGTGTACTTACATAGTAACTAGATGTGTACGTAGTATGTAACCACAGTGTAAGTACACATTGGTACATAGTATCTACAGCTGTAATATTTCTGTAACTACACTCAACCCTCCGAATGGTTTGTGTAAGTACAAATGTGTAGCAGGACATATATAACTGCATTTTGTAACAGCAATATGTATAAGAGTAATTGGAACAATTTGATCCAGGGGGTGGAGATGGGTAGGGTTAGGGATATGTAAAGTGGGAGGAGTTGGATCTCAAGTTGGTGGAGTTGGTGCACCACTGTAATACCAGTGTACTTACATGGTAACTCCTCAGGAACTGTCCACTTAATATAAAGTGTAACATTCTGGACACCAACTACAATTTAAATGTAAAGCCTAACTTACTGGCCGCTGCTGTGTAACTTCAGAGTAATTACATGGTAAATCCATAGGAGAGTGAGTGAGTGAGTGAGTGTGTGTGTGTGTTTAGAACACAGGAATATCCCGAGGGATTCCCAGCTGGTTTTATCTTGTGTCTGTGACCCCCCCTCCCTCCCTCCCATTTCCTGTCTCAGTGCATTGTGGTCTTGTTCTAATTACAGAGCTCTGAGGCATCCCGTTACTGTGACGACTGCAACACACAATCACACACAAGAGAGCTGCTGAATAGACAAATTGTCTTCCCCACATGCTTGACGTATGCTTGTGTGTTTATGTGTTTGTTGGTGTTTCTGTCTGCGAGCTCTGAGGCATCCCGTTACTGTGACGACTGCAACACACAATCACACACAAGAGAGCTGCTGAATAGACAAATTGTCTTCCCCACATGCTTGACGTATGCTGTCATTGTGTGTGTGTTTTGTCTGAGTTGATGATGTTTATGTGTTTGTTGGTGTTTCTGTCTGCAGTGGTTCATGTGAGCGCTCACCTCGTGAACATGGTCAGTTTCTCTGTGAGATATTCAGAGGATTTCCCTGCGCTCAATGTCGCTCAGTATCGCGGACAGGTAACACACACAGACATTTACATGAACATCTTCTGTGTTTGGAAAAATGTAAATGTTTTTGCAAGGGCTTAGGTTTGATTTTGGCATTGATGGGGACATAACAGCAGACAATAGATATCTCATTGTTTGATCAAAATTATTGCTAAGGACAATTTAGTAGATGCTGGATATTGGTAGGGACATGTCAGCGTCCTTAGTAAATTCTACGCCCTTGTGTTTCTGAAAGAAGTCTCTTCTGCTCAACAAGGCTGCATTTATTTGATCAAAACACATCCATTCTTCATTACTCCAGTCTTCAGTGTCACATGATCTTCAGAAATCATTCTAATATGCTGATTTGCTGATCAAGAAACATTTCTGATTTTTATCAATGTTAAAAACAGTTGTGCTGTGTAATATTTAAAACTGTGTTAATAATATGTTTTTCTCACGTTAGGATCCCAGAATTCTCATCATAAGCACAGGTGACTCACCTTTCTAAATCTCCCTTCTGTACTTCCACATCAGCGTTTTGTGTTTAATATAGTGAAACCGAAATTATGACGTGTAATGTAGGATGATTAATTGAAAAGCCTGTGGACACATTCTTCTAACTGTGTCAAATTCGTTTCCTTTTATTTTGTGTTTAAAGGGGTCATATGATGTTGCTAAAAAGAACATTATTTTGTGTATTTGGTGTAATGAAATGTGTTTATGTGGTTTAAGATTAAAAAAACACATTATTTTCCACATACTGTACATTATTGTTGCTCTTCTGTGCCCACCTTTCTGAAACGCATCGATTTTTACAAAGCTCATCGTTCTGAAAAGCGAGGTGTGCTCTGATTGGTCAGCTATCCAGTGCGTTGTGATTGGCCGAATACCTCAAGCGTGTGACGGAAATGTTACGCCCCTCACCATACTGTGATGCCCTGTCC